CCTCCGTCCACTCGTTCTCTTCTTTATGAAATATTGATACTGGCTGCTGGCTCCTCTTAGAGACTCGGCTCCATGAGAAGGTTTTCAGGGCTGCAGGGAAATGTTTCTGTTTGAGTTTTTAGCATTTCTTGTTGTTTAAAACCAGCTTTTAATGAGTGACATCAGTGTAACAGAGACAAGTCTCACTTTGTGCAGCAAAATGAAGCATTTAGAGAGAATAACTTGTCTGTTTTTCTGTTTTTAAACAAACCTCAGATTAAAATATAAGAAATAATCTGTCTGAGTTCAGATGTTTCGAGTCATTACTTTAAATTCTGCATGTTGTCAGCGCCCTCTGTCTGTGAAGCAGCTCACACACAGCTCTGTCTGTACGTTTCTCCTTTTTAAACCCATTTTTTCTCGCTCCACATCAGTGCAGCCTCTGATGCCCGAGCAGATCCATTGTTTTTGGCACAGAGATGCTTTATCTTCTTTTATTGACAGTGAGGATTGATGGCCGACCACAGCCACAGCTCTTTATGCAGGAGAAGAGCCTCCTGGATCAATAACTGTTACCTAAGAAAAGCCCACAGAACCACTAATGAATCTGCTGGCTCTCACACACCCACCACTCGTCTCATTTCTGCACAGGAACGTTCAGATCAACTCAGAAACACTTTTAGCGCACTGCTTTTATATCAAACTCAGTTTGTTGCATGGATTATATGATTCTTCTGATTATAATGCATGTTTGGATCAGGGAATATTTGAATGTCAAACAGGTGAAGAAACATTTCAGCTCTGGTTTCTGTGGTTTTCTGGCTGCTCCACATGTTTCTGTTTGGTTCTGATAAACCTGAAGTCTTTTAGCTCAGGGCTTTTCAACTAAATCACTCCGGGGCCAGTTTTACTGCGGGTCAACATCTCAGGGGCCAAACATCCAGAAATTTGGCGATTCTGTAAATAAACCAAATATTACAAAGATCTGTTACCTTTGAAATAGTTTATTTTGCTGCATTTCATCATGATTACAATACACAGAACCCTATAAAAGTAGTGACAATTAAATATCAAAAACAAAAAGACACATTTTACCTCCTATTTGACACAATTATTATTTTGACATATCTGACTTGCTAAATTTATAAACAATTTTATTTATACTTTCATAGTTTTATCTTCAACTGCTTGTAATGTTAACTGTCTTCAGTGTGCACAGATTGTCATGTTTCTACAACACATGTCTATGTTTAACTAAAAGACCTTAGAGTAATTAAAGAAGAAAACCGGGGGTTTGGACCTAAGAGACGAATGAACCGATTGGCGGGCCGAACTTTGGTCACTCACGGGCCGGATGTGGCCCACGTGCCGCCAGTTGAAATAGCCCTGGTTTGGCTGTTAAATAGTAAAAAGATGTTCAAATAAATAATACTGGAGCAGTTTTAGTGTTTTTATTCTGCTTCACTTCAATTCTGAAAGCAGATTTTTTTCAGTCGTTTTGCTAACTTTACTTCCTGTTTTATTTTATTTTTTTTAGCTCATTTCCTGTTTTGGTTCCTCTGCAGCAGCTAAATGTTGTTGTTGAATCATAAAACTCTTCGATTTATCAGATTGTTGGTTGTTTTCTTTATTTTTGTTGCTTTGTTTCTGTTTTCTGCAAATTCTCAAGACAGAAAAGCATCAAACCAACAGACTGAGATGTTTTTATCTGATGCAAATGTTGATTTTATTAACAAGGTTATAACAATGTAAAAAAAAACATCTTAACCTTAATTTAAAAAACCAGTTCAGACCAGTTGAAGGATTTTCACTTTAGAATATTTAATTCAACAGAATGAATCAATATGCTGAAAATCTTATAATTTTTATGATTTCATATTATTTTTAAAGCAGCAGCTGTTTCCACAGAAACCTCTGATTCGGACAGAAAACCCTGCAGCTCGTCTGAAACGATGAGCGCAGCCTCTTCTGCAGCTCAGCAGAACATCACGACTGATGTGTTTGCAGCTCGCCTGCTGGACATCAGCTCCGGTTATTTATGGACACCAAACCCAAGCTGTGGTCAGGAAATGCTGACTTGTGTGCAAAGATTCATTAAATTAGCCGAAGCCTTTTGTTGCTGAGGTTGCACCACCTCATTTCAGAGCAGAGACTCTGAAAGCCCTGCAGAAATCTAATTTGTCCAGCAGAGGAGGGTGTTAGATTACACGTGTTTGCACTCATTTTCTCTTTGTTTGGTCAGTAATTCTTATAAAGAATCCCAGCCAAACTGACCTTCAGTCATGCATCAGTTTATTCAGATTTTCATGGATTTACAAGGAGATAACTTAGAAATATGAAAAAAAACATTTCTTTAAAATATATCCTCATAGTTGGAATGTTTATTGTGAGCAGAGGAGAAACTGCAACAACGTAAAAATCATTTATTATTTTATAAATGACATGATAGAAAAATGCTACAGAGTTTTAACCCTTTCAGTTTTTTAATCAGGCACAGCTCAGGTCAGCTCTGGGTTTGGGTTGACATTTAAGACTCTTTTAAAACTCAAGGCACATCGTCGGGCCTCCAAACTCTCAGCCTTTTGTTGTTCTTGTTGTTTTTCACGTCTGAAAACAGAATGTGTTTCCTGACAGACTGATGCAGGTCAGCCTGCAGAGCAGAAACCAGACGAGCCAAAACCAAACAACAAGAAGCTGTTTATTATTTACTGACATGACATGCAGACGGTTACATTCATCTGTTATCATAAATTTATCATTTAAATATGTTGAAGGTTCATAAATACAGACAGCAGATATTTATATTTTATACTTGATGCTGATAAACTGAACAGAAACACATCTGCTGAGCGTTTAAACATGAAAAACCTTTAAAGCAGCTGAAGCTCTTTATGAGAATTTAAAACTTTTTTTGAATAAATCAAAGGTTAAACTTGTTCTCATCTAAAACACATTATTATTCCTTGGTTAGGTTTCATTCCAACTGTTTCTAATTTCTAACTTCTGTGGATGAATGTATTTTATTGTGTTTGTTAAATCGTGCAGCACTTTAGCCTTTTCAATGCTTATAAATAAAAGTGGTCTGGCTAAAATGCTGACATTTAAAACAAATTTATTATTACTA